CCGGGGCACGAACCCGTGTCCCCTGCACCGGCAGGCGGACTCTCAACCACTGCGCCACCAGGGAAGCCCCAAGAGTAGTGCCTTTTGTTTCTCCTTCTACCCTCTGGCTTCCATCCAAAACTGCTAACTGTTAGCACCTATGAGATAGTTTTCAACCTTCACTTGATTTGACCTTTAAGGCATTTTAACATTATTTAGTACTACCTCTAAGCATGTTCCTCAGTGTTCATAAAAACTTCTCACTTTTGGAATTTCTCCCACCTTACTTTCTCACAAATTCAAAGTTGCCATTTTTCCAAAATAGCAGGAAAAAATGTAAGCATTTATTGCTTTACAACATAATAATTGATATGAATGCTTATCATTCAGTATTAATTATACTTCTAAAAATTACATTATACTTTTATATAGAGTGTATAAATATAACTCAGTATTAGTTATACTTTAAAAAGATAAGAAACATATATTAATTATTCCTTGGTTTCTTCTTTCCTAGTTAATGAAGGAGTTCCCTCTCCTGAGCATGTTCAACATCCATGAAAACCTTTTAGAAGCCCTTCTGGAACTACAAGCATATGCTGATGTTCAGGCAGTCTTAGCAAAGTATGATGGTAAGTCCTTGGGTACTTTTATCTACTTGAGTATTCTGCTCTTCTTGATGTATTTCAATGATTAGATCAGAAGGATCATTTTTATAGCACAGCACTTTGATGACTATCCTCTTAGAGAATTTCCACGTGATTTCCGTGGTCAGGAATCACTCAGAACCTCTGCAGGTAGCATGTACCTTGTTGGAACAGCACTAACTCTTTGAGATCCTGCTGTGACCCCTCATCGGCTGACTGTGACCACTACCTGTTGGTTATGTTGATCCTTCAAAGCAATAGAACAGCTGGTAGCTCTTGCTACAAACCTTGTGACAGTTCAGTAATATTTGAAGATAAGATCATGGCCCTTTCATCCCAGGTCTTCTCCTCATTAGCAGAATAACCCCCATTTCTTCATATGAGAGGCTTTGCCATTCTGGTTACTCACCCGTGAGCACAGAAGAACATTTTGCCTCTTCTTAATAAACCAGAAAAATAAGCTGACATCTCCTAGATATTTGAAAAATCTTCTGCTCATATTGCCATTGTCTGTGAATTTACTATTTGATTAATTGTACAAAAATTTTCTACATAATTACCTGCCATGACTTAGCTTCTGGAATCTCTGCAGAATTTCATACTATTCTGCCATATTTCATTAACTGTCTCCCGAAAATAAATATATTTGCTTATAAAATGGATATTAGGGAGTGATTACCTATGATCATTGTTTACTTTATAAAATACTTTTTCTTAAGTAAGCATCTTTAGTGCATTTAAAGAATTATTCAGGGGGACTTTCCTGGTGGCGCAGTGGTTAAGAATCCACCTGCCAATGCAGGGAACACAGGTTTGAGCCCTGGTCCGGGAAGATCCCACATGCCACGGAGTCACTAAGCCCATGCGCCACAACTACTGAGCCTGCGCTCTAAAGACTGCGAGCCACAACTACTGAAGCCCGCGCGCCTAGAGCCCATGCTCCGCAACAAGAGAAGCCAAGGCAACAAGAAGTCCGCACACCGCAACAAAGAGTAGCCCCTGCTTGCCTCAACTAGAGAAAGCACGCGTGCAGCAATGAAGACCCAACACAGCCAAAAATAATAAATAAATAAAATTAATTTATAAAAATAAAAAAATAATTATTCAGGTCAAAATATTCATCAAACATATAGGGCAAACTATACTATTTGAGTCTTATTTTTGACATACCGTTCTTCATAAGGAATCTCTGAAATAGGTTAGAGTTGTTACCCCCTGCAGTTGGAGGAACTGAGGCATCATGAGACTGTTTTTGTTTTATTTTATTGTTAATTCTTGCTCAAACTGATGGAAACTAAAAACCATCAGCCAGTGATGGCATCACTTGGCCTGTGCAAACATGAGCACCCTGTGTAACAAGATATATGCTACCTAATATGGAACTGATTTTAGAAAGAGAGAAAAGTATTTGTGGCACACTTTATAGTAAACAAAATAAAGACTGTCTGGCCTTCATGTCAGCTCACTTTTGTTCTCTGTTTATGTGTGGAATCTCTGTTGGGATGACCTTGCGAGTCTAAGCCAGAAAACTACCTTAGAGGCAAAATGCTCATACATTACAGGCCTTTTAGTACCAGCAGAACCCAGCACATGGGTTCAAGTGGCCATGCACTTTTCCACATGCCACCCCGTAGCCATCAGTGTCATAGCAAGGTTCCAGTGTTCTCATCCCCAGCGCCGACCTGCCCTCAGCCTGATACATCAAGGCTTAAGAAAAGATTTAACCAACAGAGCCTTTGGGATCTCAAATCTCCTAAGGCTCCTTTCATGAAGATTTTGGCTCATTACAGAAATCATCAGTTTTGTGTTACGAGACTGAGTGTAAAATAAAGAAATGAACTCATTTGGAGCTTTCTGTTGTCTCTCTCTATCCCTTTGCACAGCCTCTGTTCCACAACAACCAAAAGCTGATTTATTAGATTCTGATAACATATGTCCACATTATTCGTTACAAGAGCTTGTCCCACCCTCCACTAAAACTTGGCTCTCACTTTGCAAAATTCCTTTGTTGCAAATGGACAAACTCACCATACCAAGGCCCTTGTGTTGAGCTTTGTTTATGTTTGTACCTGGCAACAGAGATGATGTTCTTATTCATTATTCATGGAAAAAGAGCCTCATTAGTGGCAGGACACATACTGTTGCTGAGATGCCTCGTTAGGGGTTTTAAGTTCAGCAGTTGTCAATAGACTGCAGATGACCTAACCCCAGCTGAATTCTGGAGGGTGTTTTGGCACAGACTTGGCTTAGGCCAGTGTCATTTACAGTAGAACTATAATGAAGTGGCTGCTGAAGTTACTGTTGCTTGAGGAGTGAGCTGCAACCACACAAGACTATTAAACACATGCCTCTTCTTCCTCACCCCGTGCCATAAAATGGGCTCTTTCAAGTTCATCCCTGCTGCTTTTCCTGGAGACCCAAAGGACCTTGACCCAGTTCTGGTCCCATTTTCTGCCCCTGTGTTAGAAAGTGGGTGCTTCAGAGGGCTTGGAGTACAGACAGCAATGGGGGTGCTCTCTTCTTCACCCTGGTTCAGATGTCATCATCCCAATCCATGAGATGCTGGAGACAGCACTTTGAATCCCAGCCTCACCGTCCCTCGCCATCGAGCCACACCCAAAGCAGCAGGATTATATGTTATCTTTGCAAATTGGAATGCTCTGGTTTGGTAGCTGTTTCTTGGATGTTTTATGGGTACAGCCATCCTTCTTTATTACATTTGCTAGGTAGCTGAATCTTTTTAAGTAGTATGTTGGGAAGTGACACAATGGGATCAGTGCTGCTTTTCTGACCTTTGCAAAAAGGATTTAGAAATACGGTAAAGCATGGGGGAAAAAACACAACATGTTCTGAGGAAAGGAGGAAGGCAACCTGTATTCCCTTTGCCTCATTCTTATTCTTCTCCACTTTTTTATTTGCTTTGACTTTTAAAAGTGACATTTACAAAGTCCTTTTACAGTGAAGCCCTTTGCAACCCTGGATTCTTAGTAGGATTACCAGTTAACTGATCACACCTCCTTGTAAACTGCAGTCTAATTTTGATTTTTTCCCTTGAGATAACTTCTGATCTTATATTATTCTAGCCATTAGTCTGAAATGCTGTCTTGCCAGCCTCAGGAGTTTTCATGCTCTTCTAGTTTCAATTTGTTAAACAACCTTATGGGTGGGCAGTTTTTAGCCAGGTGGTTGGTGTTGGTTTTGGAATGTCCTTCACACAATAACTAAAAAAACAGCTAGCATTGAGTTCTTATAATGTGTCAGGGTCAGACGTGGTTCTAAGCTCTATGTGGATGGACTCATTTATTCTCACCACAAACATATGATGTAGATACTATTATTAGCCCCATTTTACAGCTGTGGTTACTGGTACAGAGAAGAGTTAAGTAATTTGCCGAAGAGCCTAAGATGTCAAGTAAAGCCATGGAGATGTCATGAGAGCAGAGATAAACTGAGAACAGTCTTTGTTCAATAAGATGTGAATTCTACGAGGAAAGGAAAGCCAGGATAAAAGCTGAGGTGGTCTGACCCCTGGCCCGTGCTCTTAACCATCATCATACTTCCACTGGTCTCTGCTGTTGGCAGTATTTTTTATTGTTTTTATTAACACTGTTCTTGTTGTTATTATCAGCTACAGTTTGTTGAGAACCTACCATGTGCCAAGCACATGGCACACATTACCTATAACCCTTACAGTGTCTTGGCAAGGAGGTAGTTATTCCATTTTAGCAGATGCAGAAACTGAGGCTTGTGAATTTAAGTAACTTTCAAGACCACATTCCTTGAAAACTGTAGAACTGAGATGCAAATTCAGGTTTAGCTGGCTTTAAAAGCCCATGTGTTTTTCATAAACGTAAGCCTTGCTGAAGTGACTTTCTCTCCCTCTCTCACTCCTCTTAGAAAGGCATGAATTAGGCAGGCTGGAGCCGTGGTGCAGAATTTCAGTAATGCCAAACTGTCTTTTAAGATTCTTTTAAAATTGTTCCTTAAGAACTGGGCATATCTATATTTGCTTATCTTTCTGAAACCATCTTCAAAATATGGCTTTCCATCTTCAGCGTGTACCTGATTTCTTTAGTCACAAAGGGGATTTGATGTATGGTGTCCATTTCATTGGAGATTTATCTTTTTTTTTTCAGTCATACATTAGCTATAAAGACAGAAATGTTTTTTAAGATCATTAAGTCATCAGAACCTTCTTTTCAAAGCCATTGAGAAAGTTGTTACAAGCTTTGGATTGCCTTTCAAAGAAGTTTATAGGCCACCTAGGTTGAAAGCTTAAGTCTCAAAGATTAGGGTGGGAATGGGGATAGGAATTCATGCGTTTCTTATTCATTATCATTTGCCCATTTCAATTTTAGAAGAATCTCACAGAGCAAGTGAATAGGAATGTGAGTGCTAATTTTGTGAGCATTTCCTTTGGGAGTGTCTAGTTCTGTCTCTAGTTAGTGATCCCTGAGGATGCCAAAGGCAGTCCTGTTGGTGGGGAAGACCTGCTGAGATCAAGTCCCAGCTCTGCCTTTCACTGGCTGAGTGAACTTCAGCAAATCACTTAACCTTCTAAGCTTCCATTTCTTTCTCTGGAAATGGAATCGAGGCTTAGAAAGCCTAAGTCACTTGCCCAGGATCACGCAGCTGGGAATTTGTTGTGAGGATTAAAGCAGTTAATCCATGGTAAATGTTTAGAACAGTATGGGCCATAGAGTAAGAATTCAGTAACTATTAACAATTATAAAGAGCTAAGGTGACCACTCCTGAACTTCACCTCTGTTCACAATCCATTTTGTTCAAATGGAAAACCATACATAAAATGTCAGTTAAAATGAGAGTATAAAAGCCCAGTCTTTTGCCCCCCCCCGAAAGTGTTATGGCCTGTTATTAAAATTAATTTTATTTTATTTTTTTATTATTTTTTTTGTGGTACGCGGTCCTCTCACTGTTGTGGCCTCTCCCGTTGCGGAGCACAGGCTCCGGATGTGCAGGCTCAG